CAGGGCCACGTGGGGCAGGGCCGGGGAGGCGGAGGGGTCCCGTGCCTCTGAGGCTTTGCTCTGGCAAAGCCTCAGAGGCGCGGCACCCCACCACCGCTGCGGCTTTGCTCCAGGTGTCCCTGGTCTGCTGGAGACGGTCCCCAGCAGACCAGGGACATCCGGAGCAGCTTTTCTCGCCCCGGAGGTCGAGGTGGCGGGACCACTGCGCACTGGGCGGTCCCGCTGTCTGCTAGCTCGGGGGCGAGAGAGCCCTGTTCGTAAGTGCGGATCCGACATAAGTCGGATCCGCGTAACTCGGGGACTGCCTGCATAATGTATTGGATGAATTCCTGTTGCCGAATGAGAGAAACTTTTGAGGTCCTGAAGAATCAATACTTGAGATTCAAAGACAGGAACTTGTTACCTTTTTTTAAAAATGTGTTCTTTGGTTTTCTATTTCCTTATTTAGCTGGTTTTTTACAAGTGTTAAAATTCCTAATTCTCATTGTGTACTTGTGTCATCAATGTAGAAAGGTGAAATCCTTATAAGTTATGTATAACTATTTTAAATTCTTCCATGTTGGTCAACATGTGATCCTTATTTCTACTACTTGTACTCATTCCTACCATAGCCATTAGTCATATGTAGTCCTCATCAAAATACTTACAGGTGAATGTAGCACTTAAGCATTGAATCTCTTGTTTCCATGTGGTTTCATTATTGCTTGGTGTTTGAAGCAGGGAATTGGCTTTCTAGGCAGCATGCAGAAATTGCATAATCTTTTGGCTAACAGAATGATGGATGGAAACTATAAGAAAGAGAGAAAAGAGGTAGAGCATGGTCTTCAAACAGAGTGAGGAGTTGTCAATAGAGCGGACTGGTCCCAAGAAAGTTTCAGTCCAGGGCAGTGATCCTCAGGCTGAGGTTCTGGAGCTTCAAGTGGCTCTTTTGTGTGACTCTGGTGGCTCTTTGCAGCAAATAATATTAAAACATTCTGTGATTTAATTGTTAACCAGTCAGGATGGCTTCACTATGTTGTTAACCAGTTGTTACTGATAAAATAATAGTGTACTTGGAAAGCTATTTTGTTGTGTGAATAATATATACATGTTTTTTATGATGGTTTTAATAGGAAAAATATTTCTAGGTGGGAACTACTATTTGAAAGTAAATGCTAATGTCCACTTAGATTATAAAAAGAAGACATTTTAAAAATCAGTCTAGCTTTTCAAAATATGTGCACTTTTTGGGTACGTCTAGACTACATGCCTCTGTCGCCAGAGGCATGTAGATTAGGCTACCAGACATAGGAAAATGAAGCGGCGATTTAAATAATCGCCGCTTCATTTAAATTTACTGGGTGCTTCATCCAATACAACCATGGATTCTTTAGCACTGACCAAATGCTTAGCATCAAGCAAGCCCTTGGCACTAATGTGAATCATGGCCCCTTGTCATTGGGTAAACAATATACTAGCTGCTCAGGGAATGCATTCTGCCCTTGGCACCAATCGTTGCTTCACTTTTCAACCTGCTTCTGCGGTTGATGCTCCAGCCTGCTTCACAGCAGTTCTGCTTTCTAAGGGACCTGGTCATCCTTGAAATGCCTGAGTTGCTGCATCTTCGAGTGAGCTCCCTATAGGTTACACATCTTCCTTGGAGTTATAACACTGCTTGCCTTCACCATTGAGAACTGTACAACCCTTTTCTAGCAAAGGAGAAAAAGGATGAAGAGTGCTCTGTTCCATCCGAATATCGAGACACATGCACAATTCTCTGCTTGTCCATGTTACCTAGAACAAAATGGGGCCGTGGTATGGACCCCAGTGCATGCAACCCCATGTTCCAATTCCTCCACATTGGGCCTTCTGTGACCTATGACTATGTACAGGGCACATTTTCCCAAACCATAAATAGAGCAGAGCAATGTTCCCTCTAAGCTGTGCAGCAGCACAACTTCATAGGTGATTAAACAGCCTTGCCCTGTTAGAGGCTCAGGGCTATGTGCATGGAGCTGACTGTCTGGGCAGTGCTGATTAATCACCTGTGAAGCTGTGCTGCTGCATAGTTTAGAGGAAACACTGGAGCAGAGCCAGAAACACAAAGTTGCCATTCTCGTCCACGTCTCGACCATCTGATGTTCACCCAGTAATGATGGAACAATATCAGGAAGACATAGGGGAGAGTTTACACAACCATTCCACTTCTCCTGATGAGACCATCATGTCATTACCTCTTGCATTGACAATTGCAGACACTTTCAAGAGCTACTCTGCAGAATCTCAGAATCTTTCCATATCCTGATGGAGGAAGTAAAAAAGCAGCAGCAATAGTTGCTCAGTAACCTATCCATGTCCACATTGGCAAAGATAGCCTTTCCTTTTGGATCCTGCCAAGGCAGTCTGGCAGATGCCAGTATCCATACCTTCAACCTGCTATTGAGTATACAAAACATGAAGGTCCCTGTTAAGGACTCGGAATTTTTTTCCCATCCTGCTCTGAACTCCTGATACTAATGCAGTACAGAAGAAGGGATGCCAATGCCACTTTAGGGCAATGCTATGCAATATGGACTGGAAGTTATTAGTCTTGTTCATTTGTTAAGCATACTCTTCTGCTACTCTTCAGTTCCATATTGCCAATTACAAGACTTTTATGGTCAAATATAGTCATACAAGCTATTGTAAAATACTTGGCATTCTGTCATTGTCTGCCAGAGGATAAGATGAAGCCATTCTAGGCATTTGTGTCTGAAGGATACCTTATCATTGGCACGGCACTACAGGCATCCTTAGGTTTTGAAGATATGACTTCTTGCTGCATCGCAAGATCCATGGTAACATGATGAACATTATGGCTTCATCTTTCTGGATTCCCTAATGGGGTATAGACTATGGTCAAGGATCTACCCTTTGAGAGTTTCAAACTATTTGCCAAGTGCATAGATGAATCCCTGTGTTCTCTAAAAGACTCTGTAATAACTCTCTGCTCTTTCAGCATATATAGATCAGTGTTGAAAAGATATCAGGGGAAATACCAGCATAGCTCAAGAGTCCAACCTCCTTTCACTCCTTCTGGGTCAGTATGATGCACAGCGAAGGCTACAAAGACCCCGCTGAAGCACAGGCAAATGCTGCATCAGGAGGCTACATCTCTCACACCTTCGTCTAAAACACAATTTTGAATTTTTGATTGAAATGCCCTGGAAAGTATCCATTCTGTTTGCTGCAGCCATCTTTAACAGCCCAGCGGTTTGACAACTGTTTAGCCCCTTTTTATCTATCATGATAGCACATCACTTTAGAAAAAGCGGGTTATGGAAATAATCAGCAAAGGGTGTTCTCCATTTCATTCCCTATGCGTGCTCCACTTCCTGCCCTCGCTTCTGCTTTGGAGCTCAAAGTTAAGTTCTACAATAGGCTATGTATAGATGCCATCTGCAGTGTGATATGGAGAGGAGCATATGTGCGACCCAGTGGGTGCTGCTACCAAAGATCTCCCATCCCAGGTGCAAGGGGCTCTGCTGCACCTACATTGGAGCACCTGTCTGACACATACCTCGAAGTACATTAGTTATTGCACATGGTGAGCAACCTACTATCTCAAATAAGAGTCTGGCGACTTATCCTTAGCCTCATCCTCAGGAAGTAAGGTTGAGAAACCCTTTTCAGATCTCTCTTTTTTGTTACTTATCCCTCACAGCAGGAAGAGTAAGCCCCGGCCATTCCCATGACAGTAACATCTATGAAAAGATCTTGCTTCTCCACAAGGGAGAGTTCCTTCTCTCCCTCACTCTTCTCCATACACACCCTCCAAAATTGGAGGAAAACAAAAGGAGAATCCATAAACTCTAATGACATAAATGTTTGCAACCATCAATCAAAGGAGTGTAGTCATGATAGAAATTCAAGTAGAAAAGGAGTTGTCATTGAAAATAAAGAACCTACTCTCTAAGGTAAAATCAGATTGCATCATAGTGCTGAATGCCTTTTTTGAAGGGGTGATTTTGGACCACCAGGGGTGACTTCAATATTCCACAAAAAACAAATGCTGAAGAATTCCTTCCCCTCCTAAAAATCATCACAGTGGTGGATCTCTGGAAAAGGCTAAACTTCTTTCAAAGTATGAGAATTTTCAGAGAATGTCATGTCTTCCCTAAGGATTCTGCCAGCCAGAAAACAGCAGCACAGAAGAAACTTAGAGGCTCTTCTCCCTCAAAGCTCCCACAACATGGTTGCAGTAGGAGTTGGACTTAATCAGCAATTCTTTGGCAGAAACAATATTTCAATCAGTTTTGAATGGACAGATAAATATTGAAGCTAGTATCCTCTTTGTTCTTCAGGAGCTGCACTTCCCAACTAAGGTCTTCATTGTTACTCTAATATCCAGGAATCCCACCCTGTGCTGGGTTATGCTTTAAAGAAGACA